GAAAGAAAGAAAGAAAGAAAGAAAGAAAGAAAGAAAGAAAGAAAGAAGTAGATAAATAGATAAATAAATAAATAAGTCAGAGATATACCCACTTTCACTGTTAGGAGGTCCACGAAGCCACCACGCTAACAGCCAGAAAATCTCTCATCACACTACATTTCTGAGTGCACACACATGAGCACACATGAATGACCAGTGCAGAGAAATACATGGGTTGTTCTTTGGGTCTGACATTTGATAACTAATGTCTAGCTTCTTTTATTTGTACATTCTTGCACATTATTTGCACACTATCAAATCCAAAATAAATTCAGCACATTTGCTTTCTCCTCTAATTCCCACGATGAAGTGTTACCTGGATGCTCCATTTAATGTCCATGTTTAAAAAGATTTGGCAAAAATCTGTGATATCAGCAGCATGATAGTGAGAGTAGACACAGTGACTGTATTTACTATCTCATAATACAATTTGGCTCAGGAAGTACAGCCATGGCAGGTGGATTCCATGTCTGTCTTAAGACAGTGGAAATACCAGAGTACTTTTGAAGGATGTAGTCGTGGTCTACTGCTTAAATTTCGTCACATCAGGTGGAACTCAAGGAGGACCTAGAGCATACACCAGCTCAGACCAGTTCAGTTAGTAAGACTGAAGAGCGTTTCTACTTTCCTGTTGTTTAAAAGCAACCCATGGCTCACAGAACTACCTGTAAATAACCTACAGTCTAAGCAGTCAGTGTGGAATGATACAAACACCTCTGGGTTAGGAAATTAATGTGGCTTGATAAGGCGCTGATTAGCAGTGGGGCCATGGAGAGTGCCATGGCATGTTATGGAGGTCATGCAAACCTGAAAGCAAAGCCTCTTTAAAACAGAGTGCAATTTTGAAATTTCACTCATCAGTTCCCAGGAAACACCTTCTTCAGAACTGTACTGAATGTCATTGAAAGACTCTGTTTCTTTTTTGAGAAATAAACACCAGATAAAATATTTATGGAGGTACAAACTGCTGGGAGGCAAGCTGGACCTGAAGTTAATGTCTCACGAAAGGCCCTGGATATACGGAAATTGTTTACAAAAGTGTTGCCCTTGTGAAAAATCTCGCACCAAATCTGAAGAAGTAAAATGCAAATGTGAACCTGACACACAGCTGTCAGTCAAACGACTTCCAGACCACAAGCAATGAAATTTTTACAGTGTTGTCTGGGAATGATCTTCTATTTGAATGCCATTCCCAAAAGACAGCCCTAGCTACACTTGCAATCATTTTTTATGAAGCCGTTCAGAATGTTCTCACAGACAACTTGGATTTCCTTCACTTTGTGCTATGTCATTTTTTTCTGATTACAGTCTGTCAGGTTCCATTTAATAATAGCACTACTCTTTTTCATATTAAATATGTTAACATTTATTTGTGGGTAGCGGCTATAGAGAAATGTTATTCACGTGTATTAAGTATTTAATGGGAAAAGACAACAAAAGTATCACCAATAAAACTAACATTAAGGTAATTTATGCTAATAGAATAAGAGTTGGGAAGAAAAATTATTCTGTTCAAAATTAGAACTTATTTCACTTGGGTCAGTTTAAAAATACATCCTATGTTTTATGTACATCTATTATGTTACCCCAAAATATTGAGTTAAAATTACTTTTGACCTTCACTATGAGTGGACTAGGGGAGAGGCATATGGGGAGAAGAGGGAAGGAGGGTGGGATTGGGAGGAGGCGAGGGAGGGGAAACAGCAGGGATACAAAGTGAATAAATTGTAGTAAATGATAATAATAATAAAAGAAAATTAAAAAAAATTATTTTTGATAACTCTTGCTGAACAAAATAAAATAGAAAAAATACAATCATTGCACAATGTATAAAGCATGCATAAAATTCAGTTTTTTACAGGTAGGTATGGTCAGCCACACTGACCTAATTATACAGAAGAAACTGTGGCTCCTTTCTGCTACAGTAGCCATGACTACACGGCTGCAAAAACTAGGAAACTTGTCTGGATAGAAAATTTTGCTTAGCTCCGACTGTACACAATCCTTACCCTAGTTATCATGTTAGTTCTTAGTTAAATTCTGTGTGGCTCTGGTGGCTTTTTATTTTCTGCTTATTGTGGAAAGCCAGAGCTCAAATCTGGCTAGCTTGGTCCATTTTCTGTATGCTAAATGTTCATCCACCCAAGGACCTACCACATTCTGACACTAGAGATGATCTCTGGCCAGCCAATCACCAGATCTTGCAACTAACTGTTTCTAGAAAAATTGCAAACTATATAGCACAGAACAAAAATCATACCTAAAAAAATGAGTATTTAAATTAGTTAAATCTGTAATCTAAACTCAAAGAAAAGTTAAAATATTTGCCTGTGTGGGCATAGATAGGCAGGTAGATTGAGAGACAAAATAAAACTTGCTTTATGCTAGAGAAACTCAAAAAAGAAAGAAATAAAAAAGAAAGAAAAATAAAAAAAGAAAAAAGAAAGCTTACAGTTTCAGTTTCACGAAGTGTTAGGTAAAGGAAGAATGAAAATTTGAACATTAAAATAATTTCTAAACTTATATACATATATATATATATATATATTCATGTATATATGAGTTTGTATTTAAAATAGTTTGACATTAAAGAAAGTGTAAGCTGTGATATGTAAGGACTGGCAAGCGCAACAGACAGGGAAGCAAGTGGGCTGATACTAATTAAAACCCAGGCTAGGTTCTTTCAGTGTGAGGACAGCTTATCTGCTACCTAATGCAATTTACACAGCTGTGAATGAAACAAAAAATGGCATTAGTATGATGGCCCATAACAGCACACGTGTGGCACATAAGGTATCCTAAGATGTACACACATGTTTTGGACTCTAAATTAAGCAGCATCATGGATCATCTCAGAGTATTTTTAGACAGCCATAAGTAGAGAGGGAATAAGTACAAAGATGTTGGAACAAAGAGGCCAGGGCCTGAAATCTTAACTAAAATAGGTACACATAATTTGCTTTATCTCATTTTTGTGCTTTTCTACTAAGCCGCTTCTCTGGCCCCCAGAAGTCCCTCCATTGGCAGGAAGTAGAAATAAAATTGGGAGAGTTGTGCTCACTGCTGACGATTTATGTGTCACCATGCTTCCTGTTTCTCAGTGCTACTAACTCCCTTGCTGGTAGAATGTTCTTTTGAAATGTATACACCTTACCCTTGTTCATTCAAATGCTGATGCACCCACACACATCCACACACACACACACACACACACACACTCTGGTTTCAATCCGGATATTGCATTGTGATACTTATTCTAAGCATCACCTGTCTCAACTTTGTGTAAACATCCAAAATAAGACAACCAGCCACAAAGTCG